GTGTGTGTGTGTGTGTGTGTGTGTGTGTGTGTGTGTGAGATCGGGGGTTATTAGTCAAGTCCTGTACTTTCTCAAAAGCCAGCTTAGTAAAGAGAAAGTGATAATTATTAGGAGAGACCCTATCCTGATACATCCCCCTCCCTCCTTCTTCTGAATCTATGCACATTCACACACAAATAAACAAACAAACATGTTTGTGACGACTTTTAAAGGGGCTGGGGGGGAATATGCAAAGTAAATTTTTTGAGCTTTATATCATGTTAAGTCATTCCCTCGTCAAAAACAAACCCAGGGTGTTGCTTTGACTCATCCTTGCCTGTTTGAGAAATCCTTGAATCTCCTGTTGTAGCCATGTGGAGCTGCCTAAAGCTGGAAACATGCTCCCTCCGAACTGCCGACGTCGGCACGGGTTATCGCAGTTTCATGACGAAAATTACGTCACCGGTGTTCGCAGCGTCGGCTCGGCAGCCCCTTTTGGCACAACCCGTCGGCAGAACTTTTTACCCCACTCCCACGATGGCAGTAATGTGTGATTGGTCTGAAGTTTGTGGGCGTGTTTGTTTGTGCTGAGAATGAAAGTGCTCGGACACTCAAAATAAAAAAGAAAAAAATACTCGCTTCTAGAGCAGACTGTTGAAGCAGGGTTTTATAAAGATAGTCAAACYGAGAAAAACTCATGGCGTGTTTGTTTGTGCTGAAAGTGCTAACGCTGCATTCTCGGTTAAAAAAAAGAAAAAGGAAAAAAAATTTGACTCGCTCCCAGAGCCGACTGTTACCAGGAAGCAGAGTTTTATAAAGATAGTCAAACCGTGAAAAGTCATGAATGGAGATTAAACAGACGTTGTTCACGGAGGAAACTGATAAAAACTGTTGAGCTTTAACCAGGACAGATGTGGAGAAATACGTCGGGGGAATGACGAGTCTGACTTTTTTTTTCTGCATTGTCGGCTGTTGCGGGGAGAAACTCCATGCAGTGACATATGTTTCAGCGGGAGGGGGGTTTCCCGAGCTCGGCGCAGGGTGTCTCAGGGACTATGAAAGGTGTGTGCGAAAATGACTGCCGAACAACCGCGTGTCGACCTGTCGGCGTCGGAGCGAGTATGTTTCCAGCTTAAACCCTTATGTTACAAAGCTCCTCCCTGGAGCTCAGTCTGCAGCTGAGCTCCCGCCCCACAGAGCACCCTTTTCCCAAAGTATTGTTGTGATGTGATGAAGTGGGAGTGTCAGAAAAGGTAGCAGGTTCTTAAAGAGACAGAGGCCAATTTTAAGGCATTTAGATGCAGTCAAATTTATTTTTGATATATGCAGCATTTTCATAATAACTGATGGTAACGTAGTTATTTGATTGTGGTATAGATTTGAAGTATGTGCC